GGTAGAAGTGGACAATCTTTTGATGTCATGAGGTAGGTTGGTGACAGTCTTCTGATGTCATGAGGTAGGTGACTGCTGATTTCATGAGGTAGGTGAAAATCTTCTGATGACATGAGGTAGGTGACAATCTTCTGATGTCATGAGGGAGATGACAATCTTCTGATGTCATGAGGTAGGTGACAGTCTTCTGATGTCATGAGGCTGATGACAATCTTTTGATGACATTAGGTAGGTGACAATCTTTGGTGTTATGAGGTAGGTGACACTTCTCTGATGTCAAGTTCTTACTAATCTGAAAATAAAAAGATGCACGTTCTAAGGCATTGTAATTTTGTCAAGGCTGCACAGATTTACACAATTATTATAAAACTTTAAGTTATAACATAGTTTACTGTAAAAAAAAAACAGTCTACGTTACAACAAATCGGGCATGAATTGATGAAGTTAATTCATTGCGAATCTGTGAAGCTGGTAGCATTCAGAGGTTTTCTAATAGTTGAAATAAAATCAAAGGCGTAAATCTATATAATAGAAATTAACTGTAGAGATAGGTTTACATGTATTAACTATTATGAAAGGCCTATAAGTTTACGTGACGTCATACGATGGTCGTGTTCGTGGGATCAGCAGCAAATCACCATTTCTCAAACTAGGAACCTGAACTCTATCAAACAAGGAACGTGAACTCTATCAAACAAGGAACGTGAACTCTATCAAACAAGGAACGTGAACTCTATCAAACAAGGAACCTGAACTCTATCAAACTAGGAACCTGAACTCTATCAAACTAGGAACCTGAACTCTATCAAACTAGGAACCTGAACTCTATCAAACTAGGAACCTGAACTCTATCAAACTAGGAACCTGAACTCTATCAAACTAGGAACCTGAACTCTATCAAACTAGGAACCTGAACTCTATCAAACTAGGAACCTGAACTCTATCAAACTAGGAACCTGAACTCTATCAAACTAGGAACCTGAACTCTATCAAACTAGGAACCTGAACTCTATCAAACTAGGAACCTGAACTCTATCAAACTAGGAACCTGAACTCTATCAAACTAGGAACCTGAACTCTATCAAACTAGGAACCTGAACTCTATCAAACTAGGAACCTGAACTCTATCAAACTAGGAACCTGAACTCTATCAAACTAGGAACCTGAACTCTATCAAACTAGGAACCTGAACTCTATCAAACTAGGAACCTGAACTCTATCAAACTAGGAACCTGAACTCTATCAAACTAGGAACCTGAACTCTATCAAACTAGGAACCTGAACTCTATCAAACTAGGAACCTGAACTCTATCAAACTAGGAACCTGAACTCTATCAAACAAGGAACCTGAACTCTATCAAACAAGGAACCTGAACTCTATCAAACTAGGAACCTGAACTCTACCAAACAAGGAACCTGAACTCTACCAAACAAGGAACCTGAACTCTATCAAACTAGGAACCTGAACTCTACCAAGCTATGAACCTCAACTCTATCAAACTAGGAACCTGAACTCTACCAAACAAGGAACCTGAACTCTACCAAACAAGGAACCTGAACTCTATCAAACTAGGAACCTGAACTCTATCAAACTAGGAACCTTTACTCTATCAAACTAGGAACCTGAACTCTATCAAACTAGGAACCTGAACTCTATCAAACTAGGAACCTGAACTCTATCAAACTAGGAACCTGCACTCTATCAAACTAGTAACCTGAACTAAATCAAACAAGGCAATAAACAAGGAACCATATCAAACGAGGAAAAAGTACCGTATTTAACAAAACGGTTCTCTTTAAATCATGGAACTTGTAGCCTAATTCATAAATTAACACTTTGACATACAAAATACTTCTGATATAAAATCTGAACAAAATATTTTAACTAAATGTCTTGTAATTAACACTATGTAGGCCTATTGGTCGTGCACAAAAATTACTGTGTTTAAAATTTAAGCAATAATCATTATAATTAAAGTTAAAAAAAAAAACTCAGCTGACTAATGGCTTCTGACATCCTCTACAAAGTTCTGACAAAGTGCTGACATCCTCTACAAAATTCCGACAAAGTGCTGACATCCTCTACAAAGTTCTGACAAAGTGCTGACATCCTCTACAAAGTTCTGACAAAGTGCTGAAAAAGTGCTGACATCCTCTACAAAGTTCTGACAAAGTGCTGACATCCTCTACAAAGTTCTGACAAAGTGCTGACATCCTCTACAAAGTTCTGACAAAGTGCTGACATCCTCTACAAAGTTCTGACAAAGTGCTGACATCCTCTACAAAGTTCTGACAAAGTTCTGACAAAGTGCTGACATCCTCTATAAAGTTCTGACAACGTGCTGACATCCTCTACAAAGTTCTGACAAAGTTCTGAGAAAGAGCTGACATCCTCTACAAAGTGCTGACAAAGTGCTGACAAAGTGCTGATACCCTGTACGTCTACACAATAAAGTGCTGACATTCGTTGTTTTTACCTTGACCATATATCCTAACAATTCTTCAGCTTTTGGAGAAGTTCCCTGACAATACAGAAATAAAATAAACATTGAACTAACTTCTATCTGGAAGTATTTAGAAAAGTGTAAACAAGTTACGCGTAAGTTGACCAGCACAAACATTTATAGGGAGATAACTTGAACTTGAACACAACACAACACTGGGCGCTGATTTATTATCAATATTTTTAAAGGATTAAACTCTGTATTAAGGCGTCGTCCATTTTACACATCCCGGGGGTGGGGAAATTCAAAATTTAGCGACGAAGAGGAGGGGGTGGGGAGCCCCGAAGGAGTGATGCTACGGTTATTCTGAGGTGTGCTGTAGGCTGAGGTGGGGGAGGGGGGGTCTGATTGTGGACGATATGGGAGGAGGGGGGGGTGTTTGAAAATTGTTAAAAGACATGTCATTTTTGGATGATGCATTTCACCATTTGAAAATCATTAAATATTGAATCATCAACAAATACAAAAATTAAATAAAGTAGTACAATCTGTAAAGCGTCTTTTGTTCAGTTAATGTTTGTTTAGGTCTACTTGACGGTACTTAGATGTAGTGTTCACATTTTTTTGATGTGACTTCGCTTACAAGGATTCGTCTTCGGAGGGAAGCTCTGGGTTGTTGTTTTTTTTTTTTTTTTTTTGGACCAAACGCCCAGATCAAGTCCGCTTTACATATCTAAACTCCGCTATAAGTTATATTAAATCAACTGAATAAGGAGAAAACTAACACTTTAATAAAACGTTTCTAGATCTTTGATTAATATTTTGTTTAATATTATTAAAATGTGTTTGATTTACCTTTTGCAAAAAATACGCGAGAATTCAAAGTTACCAACAATATAACCTGTCTCTGCCACAATAAAACAGAAATAAGATCCTTATCACATCAAGCTGACGTCTGCCTGGTCGTCTGGTCAGGTAAATAATGAGGTTGGCGGGAGTTTCTGCAATTTGTAAACAAACACCTGAACAGTCATCACGTTGGCCAGTGTGTAGGGGAATGGCGGCGTCTCTACGGCCAAATTAAAGTGGGCAACGGAATCTTTTCAACAGAGGCGTCGCTACGGCCAAATTAAAGTGGGCAATGGAATCTTTTCAACAGAGGCGTCGCTACGGGTAATTTAATTCGGGAGGGGGGGGGGGGGGTTAAATGATCGGAGGCGTTGCATCGACCAGTTTCAATCGTCAAAGGCATCTGAGGAGTAGACTACACTATGTAGGACCTTTGTAAAGCTAGAGTCGCTACTTAATCCAGCTTTAGACTGATCAGAAAATTATGGAACCACGCAACAGGCACGATGTTATCCCACAACCTTCGCAATCCAAACAAATAATAAAAGTCAAGTCATCTACTTGCTTGACTGAATGAGTCATCTCTACTTAGTTTGAGCAAATATTTTCTTACACTTCATGTGGTTTTGTTCTTTTGGGCGATTTTTCCTTCACCTACCCCGGCGGTTCAACTAAACCTCCCGGCGTGTCCCTTTTGTATGAGACTTTTTGTATGTACTGGGGTCTCTTGGTTAGGGTTGTTTTTTCATTACTTTTATCTTGTATTGGTGATCTTAAAACCTACTCGTTGTGGGGTGGCTTCTAATGCATCAACATTTCCCTGCATGTCTTGCAGTTGATGCGAGAGTAGGACGAGATCATCAGCCTTTCCCGGAATTAATAATATATGCTGTGCGTGAGCATATAGCATAGAGCACCATCAGGAAGAGAAGGACTGACACAGAGAAGGACTGACACAGAGAAGGACTGACACAGAGAAGGACTGACACAGAGAAGGGCTGACACAGAGAAGCACTGACACCAGGCAGCGCTGTCTAACACCTGTTCTACACAGTTATTTTAGTTATTTGCCAACTCAATAATGAATAAGGAAGTGATAAATTAGTTGTAGACGTATCAAAACTGTTGTCCACCTACAGCAACAAACTAACCACTAATTGATGAAACAGTTTTAAAAAATAATATAGATGACGTCATGTTTTTGTCAATTTTATTATTTATACCCCCCCCCCCCTCCATCCATCGCTTTTAGCCTTCCCTCCTCCTCCCCCACCACCATTATTTGGTTTCTGTTTCAAAATGGGACATAACCATGCCAGGTTTATTTAGATTTCAATATTAAGTGGTTGTTTCCCTTTGTAGTGAAAATTACGTTATGATTAAATTAATCATTGATTTAGTTGAAGTTAAGTTTTTCTTTAAAAATAATAGGCCTGTTATATGAATTTTTAAAAGATCGAAGTTCAAATAGATCATTATTTTTAGATCTATATTATGTAGGCCTACAATTGTATTAGTTAGTATTATTGTGTGTGTGTGAATGCACTGTTGCAAAGAAAAAGTAATTCTTAAAAATACTTTATTGAAACGAAAAATCTAGATTTAGATCTATATTCTCAGATAAAAAGGAGCTATCTAGTTTTAGATCTAGATTCTAGATCTACCAATGCGTTAAAATTTGTTCGAAAATAATATTATCCTAGCTTTAATTTGTTGACGTTTAACAACAAACATGGAGGGTGTGTTGTCGAAGTGGACGAATTACATATCAGGTATTGATTTGATTCTCGCATATTAGATTTAGTGGATAATATTTAGAATCGACCCTTTGAATCCCGGTCAGAACTTCCCCCCGTCGTGGCCTCAACCAACCGGCGGGCTTGTTGCATTGAGTTAAATATAAACTCAAAACAATAATATAAACAATCTCCTTTCGGTCGGTCAGGCCACATACCACGCACGCATAGTGTTGTGTGTCGTGCCTTAACCAAAATAAACTATCTCCCTTCATTATCATTAGATTTAATTAATTAATTAATTAGTTAATTAATTTGCTAATTTATAAAATTATGTATGATGCTATAGAAGTAGGTAAGTATAATTTTTTACTATGTATTTGTACTATTAAACATATTAAAGAACATCGTTGTTTCAATACCACCCTCTCCCCTTCTTGAACTCAAAAGTTAAACTTTTAACCCCGTTTGTAAAGACTAGCGGTATGCTGTAAGGCGGCTGGTGGGTAGGGTATATACTCGGTAAAAAAAAATCCACCGTGGTGCGTGTTATTGGCCTTGGGTGACCGTTGTTGCCGCTTGCTGTGAGGGGGAGAGAGGTGTGTGTTATACTTATACTCGGTGAAAAAAAATGCACCGTGGTATTGGTCTATGATGACGTCGGCGCAAGCGTGAAGGGGGGGGGGGGGGGGGGAAGAGACGTTTTTTTTTTTAAAACCAAGAACTAGGCGTTTCGAGGCAGTAATGAAAATAATCAAGGACTGGTATAGCCATGATGTCGAATTTAACGAGTGATGCTTGCTGGGTCTATCATACGATTGCTTGGCGATGGGAGTCTCGTCAAGCTCAGGTTACATTATTAACAGTGAACTATTGGGATGCTGTCATGCACAAAGTAACAGCTACCGAATGTAGCACTTAAAACATCGAGTGCATCCCGCTCATTATAAATCTTTGAAATACAAGTTATGGATAGTCCAATAACTACTAATACTTGAAGGACTGCCAGAATATATGCATTGTATTATAAAATTAATCCTTACGATATAACTAAAATGTGCATCCAAATATGTTTAGGCTAATGGGATCTGCATTTAAATAAACAAAGTCAAATACCTACCCCATTCAGTAGAAATATTAGGCTACTTTTGCATGGTAGCACAAAGACATTTTTTAGATTTCGTAATGAGTAGCCTAGTCGTGCATTAAACTAGAATAAAGGGTTGTACTCAATAGCAATGACAATAATGAAATGCCGGCTTCAAATGCCGGCTTCCCCGTATTCTTCGACTAGAAATATAGCTCCGTCGTTTAAATGACCCCACCCTCCACCTTTTGCCTAGTTGAATATAAAGTTACACTTTCAACCCCGTTAGGATGCGTGAACTACTGAACAAAAATCTATTTTGGTGTTAAATTCCCCTCCCCTACTCCCAGCATTTAACTTTGGGGCCATACACAACATCAGGAAGGTCTAGGTCGGTGTTTTATCTCGTGCAAGTTTACTCACAACATGACTACACACTACGGTTGTATCCAGGATTAAAGCTGCGACACTTACTTAGAGTGGGATTTATTCGTTTGATCATTGTGCTTCAAATTCTGTTTCATTTTAGGATTAGAGTGATAGAATGTTGGAATTCAGTTAGTTTGTTAATTAATATATTGATCTAAAAGTCGTGTACCATCAGAAACTAAATTTATTGGCAAGGCACATGTGTACTAAAGTGTAGGCTAAAGAATGACCTCTAGATCGAGCCAAAGATGGCTGGTTGACATACTGTGGTTTTCAAATTTCATGGTGATGCTTTTCTAACGGATTTTATTTTGTGCTTTCTTTGGGATTATTTTGTGTGATGTGAATATTCAAAAGTAATTTGTAAGTAGTATGCTTTTCACATTCAACCAATTTAACAGTTTGCGGTCGATCTGCGGCCGGGCTGATTAATTTACATTTAGCGAAACTACACACTACACGGCGCCCTAAGGCCGTTGTTTCAGCATGCTACTAGTCAATTATAGTTATTATAGACAACTTTAGAATCAACACATGTAGCCAATACATCGATTTTTATTTAATAATATTCAAAACCCATTCCTCTAGGGTCGTTATTTTCACGAAATTATCGTTTTCCAATTTGTTGTCAAGAAACTGGTATTTAGTTCACGAGAACGTACGAAAACCACTCATGCGTGACCGAAAACGTCGATCGGGTGCCTTCACGTGGTTTGACACGTGTTGACATGGGCCTTTGTTTACATCGAAACATAGCTCAAAACGGCCCTTTTTTAAATTAATTCTTCGAAAAAATGGCTATGTCCATTTCTAAAAAGGGTCATTTTCGGGTCCATTTTAAAAAACGTAAAAAAATCCGAACTACACGTAGAAAAAATGGCTTTTTCGGCCCTTTTTAGCTCCAAAAACGCCGTGTTTACGGGTCGCGTGACGTCATCGTGACGTCAGCCGCCAACCAAAACGCGTTGAAAGCGCGCGTTTGATTGGTTGGCGGCGGATACTATGAAATATCAAGGGTTTTCTCTAAATTTTTACCGATTTAGTTAATAGAAATAAGATACAGAATCTGGCATAATTTTAAAATGAAATGCAATATTTAAAAACCTAAATTCCATTAAAGCTATAAATCTAGAGCTATCTCTAGTTATAGATAGAATCTAGATCTAGCTAGTCTAGTTCAAGTTGGTTTCATTTCAAGAGCAATTCAGAAATAGATCTAGAGATCTACTAGTTTCATTCAATCAAGTCCTTATAATTTAATATATAGATCTATTAGTTATTACTAGATCTAGATTCTAGATCTAAGTTGTTAGTCAATTAGTCATGATTTAGTTAGTAGTTATGCAGCAACTATAACTAAGTTATAAAGTACTAGAATCTAGATCTAGTACTAGTACTACTAGTTAACTAGTAGTAAGTAGACTGAGACACTGAGTTAAAGTAGAGTGAGACCTAGACCTAGACCTAGATCTAAATCTAGATTACTAAGATTAGGACTTAGGGCCATCATTAGGATCTTCTTAGATCTAGATTACTCAGTTATGTTTTTGAGTCAGTCTCTTTATATTTTATTGACCTAAGTTTCATTATTTTTCATATTAAGTCTAGGCCTAACTGAATAGTGAATAACACAGACCAAGTGAATGTGTTTTTTGTGTACTGTTAAAGTTTACAATATCATCTGGTTAGGCCCTAGTTTTATAGGGTAAGATGCGAGACTCAAAATGTGAAATGGCAAAGCAGTAAAATATAAGAAGAAAATGCGAGGCATACTTAATTTAAAATTTTGTTTAAGGAAATTGAACATTACAATTAAGAATTTATAAAAACAATAATAGAATGACTATTCCCAAGAGGAATAGGATCACTTTTAACACACTAAAGTTAACACACTTAAATTTGAGTAAATAAGAAAAGTACCATTACAGACCAGACATTCCATGAAATAGAAGTGTAGTCACTACTATGCCCAATCCTTGTTACTTTACTTGCCTTGACTTGGGTCAGGTACCCATCATGTGCCTGTGATCAGGAGTCAATATATTATTTTAAAATCTCATCATTACTGCATGAACACACCATTCTGTTGATTCACATCAATAGAATTGGCAGTTACTTATGTTCTGGTGTTTGTTTCTTTCATCAAATTTTCTTTTACATTACGGCAGAAGCTGTCAATACTGAATTATTGTGAAATATTTTACTTCTAATGGGAAGATATTGAAATAATCTAATTAACTAGTTGTTATTTGTTTTGTTACATAACATTGCCAAATTTTAACCATAGTCCACTAGAAAATCAATTAACTGCTGTGATTGTCATATAAACTTGTAGGTTGGCAGCCTCGCTGGTTTATATTAGATAATGGGGTGTTATCTTACTACAAGTCCCAGGAAGATGTCAACAATGGCTGCAAGGGATCTATCAAGATGGCTGTTTGTGATATTGTTGGTAAGTTAGTTGCTGTTAGTGTTCGTTCTCAATAAAATTTACAGCTGACCTTTAAAAAAAACTCCAATAAAGTAAATAGATTTGTGTTGTTGGAAAAGTGATTGATAATTGAAGCAGAACTGTTATCGATTATCCCTGTTAATGTGTGTGTTGTTGATTTTGCTTGTTCTTTAAAGTTCACCCAACAGACATGACACGCTTAGATCTGATCATTCCTGGAGAACAACATTATTATGTTAAAGCCAGTACACCTCAAGACAGACAATCTTGGCTGATAGCTCTAGGCAGTTCTAAAGCTTCCTTTAGTGAAGTCAGTGCTGCTAAAAAAGATGCAGGTAATAATGGATTTACAGATTCTTTGTAAAATGTTAAAACATTTTTATTTTAATAGTTCTTGGTTAAAAGTCATTATGTTTTTTATAGATGGCGTTCCAGATCAAATGAAAACAAAAAAATCTGAACTGCGTCTCTACTGTGATCTGCTAATGCAACAAGTTCATTCTATCAAACAGACAGTATCATCAGCTGATAGTAACTTGGATGTAGAGGTACTTTTGTTCTCACAGAAAACTCATTTAAGAACCTTTTCACTACTTCATAGCAAAGCATAACTTATGAGCACATTTTAATTCTTATACCACAATTATGAAGCTAAAATAAAGCTAACTTATAGATTTAAAAAAAAAACCTTGCTATTCACATGATTGTAAAATGTTTATCAACAGAAACTAACAGAAGCAACTTCATTGATAGGGGCAACTTGTGATACTTTTATTTCAACTCTCGACGACTGTATGAAACTTGTTGCCAATACTCCAATGTTTGAGTCCCCTCACCAGCATGTTCGTGATGCTGCTATACCATCCTCTCCCACAAGACCCAATGTCCAAAGATTGCCTGTAACTATAGAAAAGTTTTTGTTATTTACTGTGTACTCTTATCGATTCCAACAGATCAATAGAATAATGAATTCATAAAAAAAGAAAAATAGTTCATTATTTTAAAAATATTTTTATTTCTATTTATTTTAAGGGTACAAGATCAACAATAACAAGACCAAATGAAAAGTAAGTATCTTGAAGTTTGTCAGCATCAAGCAGTTAAGGCACATCAAGTATTTGTGGTGTGGTGTTTATACTTGAGTTGTTTTGACAGCTTATGACAGGATTGTGTTGTCTGCTTAAAGTTGCACCACCCAACGAGCTGGGTGTATTGTGTCCTATAGATTCTAACAGCTTAAAGTCACTGGTTTGCTTGCTCTAACACACGACCTCACTATCCCTGGAGTAGACATGTTATTGCCAACAATTTGTTCTCATTGTTTGTTTGTGTTTCTTGTTTGTAGTTTAAGTAGGGTTTCTTTATAATTTCAGAATATCCAAGCGCCATTCATCAGCTGATACTATTCGAGTTCATTCCTCGTCATCCCATCATTCTCCCCATGAGAACTCCCCTCGCCTCTCACCTGTCCATTCCCAGCCTGGGAGCTTTCAGGTGACCCACACAGTGCAGCCCCAGTCTAGCAGCATCAACAACTCTATAGATGAGGTGGATGAAGCCAGACCTCTTAGTAATGGAACCACAGACCATGAGTCTAGGAACAACTCGGCTGAAATTTCAGATGACCCTATGGCACCTTTAATACTATCAAATGCTGCTTCTTCAGATGATTTAGAAAACTTAGATGATTTTAAAGATGCTATTGATGAAACTATTGTAACCTTTTTCTCAGATATGCCTGTGAAGTATGTAAAATTTATTTTAGTTGATTATTTAATTCATTCTCTCTAAATGAAGATATTACTGTAACCCATCTAAGGAGTTGACAAACCATTAATAGTTGAGTGACAATAATCAGAAAATAGTTATTTTTTTAAATGTATCAAAATCTACATTTGTTACAGAAAAGCGGACATTTTTCTCACATGCACCCAAAATGTTTAAGTAAAATGATAATTGAAATGGGTGTGTAATAAATTAGTATGTGAAAAAATTGAATTATACATACAGTATGCTGAAGATTGATATTATAAAGTGATAAGACTTAACAGGAAAAAAAGTTTATTCACAATTTTAAATCTTCAATTCCTCAAAAAAAAAAAAAAAATTAAAAAAATATATATGGAATTAGTTTTGGGAATGACTCTAAAACAGGAATTATTAATACTTTTTTTTTTCAATTTGTATGTTTACAATATTTAAAAATAAGTAGGCGCGTGTTCAGAGAATGAACACCCTGTTGACAGTAGCCAGCCAAAACACAACTCCTCAGTGAATTAACCTTCATTGTTTGTTTTTTCAGTTTCTCTCATGTTGATACCAGTGAGGAGGACAGTATTTTAGTCAACCCTTTCTTAGAAGCTTGTAACAATTTAGTTCCTATTTTTGGTAAGCCACTGTGATCATTACAAGTATTTGTCCCATTTTTTAAAATATATTTGTTAGAATACTACTGCTTATTTATTTGTCCATAGAAAAATTTCATTTAAAAACAAACAAATCATCCTTTTTCTTACAGACAAATTAAATAGCACAGCATTTTCCCCAGTCAAAATGGATTTTTGTGGCAATATCAGGGTAAGTAGCACCATTCAGAAAGAGAGGTTTTTAATGTTTGATTCATTTCTAAAGGAAATAAACTGTGTTTGAGCTGTACTAAAGAACCTGTGTCACTCATGGACAAAAATAAAACTCAAAATATCTGCCTATAAAACCTACTTGTCCTAAAGAAAGTTCCCATCAAGTCCAATCTTTTATGTCTGAACATTACTAATCATAATTAATTAGGGCAATGATTAATATTATCTGAAGAAATTAGCAGAAGGTAGACCTTGCACCATATCTTTTAAAGTATGACAAAAACATTCAAGTTGATAATTTCACTGCTTTGAATATCTAGTAGATGTTCTGTATTTACCTTCTTTATTTCCTCACTGCTATTTAAATTGTCTTTTTCTAAGTAAGTGCTAAAACTAGATTAAACATAGTCATACAAAAGTTTTGTACTTCTCCAGAAAATTCGCCAGAAACAACTGAGCAACCCTGAGCAGTTCCCAACCCTTGAGTCAATGGTTTTAAATGAATTACAGAATGGTCAGCACACACATTCAAACTCTGCCACATCAGCACTGCTATGGTTAAAAAGGTAAGCAAACACTGTGGCCTGGTTGGACCTTATTATTTACCTACTGTCCACATTTGGTTTGTGCTACAAAAGTTAAATGTTTTTTAGCCTGCTTTAAGTTTGAATACGTCACAAGCCTTGTATTTTGATTGACTTACCAGGAGTTTAGAATTTATCAGAGAGTTTCTAAGAGAATGTAGCTCTGGAAGTACTGACATGGATGTCTGTGCCAGCAACGCTTACTCACGCACACTCAAAAACTATCATGGATGGGTCGTCAGAGGTGTTTTTGCAGTAAGTTTTTCTTGTCACATGAAGTTAATTAAAGGCATATTTTCAAAGTCTGGATTTGGATTACCATGTTAACAAAAAAATGTCGAGATAACTCCATGAAAATGTTGGTTAACCAATGCTACAAATGTTGTCCACAGGTGGCAGTGAAAGCCCTCCCCTACAGAGAGACCTTTATATGTCACTTGGCTGTGGGAGACAAAGTGGATCCCACCAGTCGACAGTTTGAACATGCCCTACTCTCTGACATTGAAGTCTTTGTACAACATTTAGACAGGGTCCTTATAGCCATCAACAAGTTTTATTTCAAGCATTCCCTTGATTCATCAGAAACTGTCTAATCTATTGCATTCACACAATCATATATTTCCTACTCCATTTAACATCAAAGATATGATTGCCACAGCACTCAGAACAGAACTTAGAACATTTTTAATACTTTCATATATTCCTATATTTTTAATGGCTAAAACACTGACAAAACTGTAAATATATTATCATAAATTTTTCATCTATATAGATTTACAAAATCTATAGAATCAGTAGCCATTCCATTACTGTTTTATTGGCTACTGCTAATCAAGCTACTTAAAGATTATTCCCATGTATTTAACTATAAATCTTAAAGCTTTATTCTACTTCCTCCCTAAAGAATGACCATAACCTTCACTGCCTTCCATTCAATGTAAGTCCAAGTTTTGGAAAATTGTAAGATAAAATTTGGCCAAATCAAGTTTTGTTTCTGTGAATTTTGATCACTTGAATTATGCCATAATAGGTTTGGTATTGGATTATACTAGTAGAATATAGTAGCTCTAGGTGGGTTTATTTGGTTCTTCTGGATTTAAAAAAAAAATTATTATTTCATAAATTGGCTTTTCCTTGATTTCATAGAATGTTGTACATAGGTAGAATATGAATTATAGTATCTGTGTTATAACTTTAGTGGGAGCTTGCCGTTTTCCTCTCTAAAACTTTGTAACATTTCATTCCTTTTTTTGTCTTGCTTTTATGTGAACTAACACGATAACTTATTTCTCTTGTAAAAGAAATCAATAGTAATATGAATATTATCTGTTGGTTTTTGGCTTTACTTTAGTAGACAATATTTCTTCAGTCAACTAGCAATTTATACCAATCAGTTTCAAAGAATTAATTTGTGTATAGCTGTTATTTTTTTGTTTGGCTTTGTTGTTTTTTAAATTTTTACTATTGTAAAACTATAAATAGTAGTTTGAACAGGTTTAGCTATAGTTTAAAATATTTGTTTGTAAGTGCATTCAAAAACAATTTTTACAGGTTTTTTGAAAATTTTGAATTTCTGTCAAATTAATTTATTCACATTTAAACATAGTTTATAAAAAAATCTGGGCAGTAAAAATTGAGTTTAGTATTATTCCACTTCAGTATTACACCTTACAAAAAGTCTCTAAACTTACATGACTGTTACAGAAGTAAACTTCCTATTAGTATTATGAACAAATATGAGAAGCAAATACTACATGAGAACCTTCAAATTAAAAAAAAAGTTGTTCTTTCTTTTGTCTATAGGATATTTATTTTTAAAAACTAGCTTTAGTTTTATTAGTTATAGGTTTGCTTGGCAGGGCCTGACATTTTTACAGCTTGTTGGGCTGTGACAGCAATAAGCAATCAAATATTTAATGATGCTGCCAAAAGTGCAATACATTTAAGTTGATGCCATATCTAGTGGGTTTGCTTTTATTTTAAAATATAACTGCTGGTTCATTTTATCTTTTTAAAAAAGATATTTTAAATAGAAGTAAAAAAAATGTGTTTTGGATTATATTACACTATTGTACCAAAGCAGAGTACATAATTATCTTTTAGATGTTTTTCTATCTTAATTTTCTTTAGATTATATAACCATAATTTTATGTGAACATCAGTTAAGTACACAGGGTATAAAGCATTGTTAGTTGACTTCATCCTAAATTACCTAATGTTCAATTATTGTCCCCATTAACTTGATGTTATTTTTGTAGAACAGTAGAAAATGTATTTTGTAAAAAAAAAACCTTTTTAAACAGCTTGTTTATGTTACTTTTCAAATGCCTACATTATATTATACAAGTTGACTCCATCAATTCATGCGTACATTATAGTGTAAAGGTTGACTCTATCAATTCATGCCTGCATTATAGTGTCTATAAGTTGGCTCCATCTATTCATTATTGTGTACAAGTTGGCTCCATCAATTCATGTGTACATTATAGTGTACAAGTTGGCACCATCTATTCATTATTGTGTACAATTTGGCTCCATCAATTCATTATAATGTACAAGTTGGCTCCATTCATTCATTATTGTGTACAAGTTGGCTCCATCAATTCATGTGTACATTATAGTGTACAAGTTGGCACCATCTATTCATTATTGTGTACAAGTTGGCTCCATCAATTCATTATAATGTACAAGTTGGCTCCATCCATTCATTATTGTGTACAAGTTGGCTTGACGAATTTAAACATATCATTCCAGCTCCTCTTTGTGGAGAAGTTGTTTTACTCAACATTTTGAACAATAAAAAACTGTGTGAGACACATGACTATACCTGCTCAACACTGTCTACTTACAATGGTGATGCAACACTTCAATCATATTTATAACATTCATGAATGACAAAAAATACCCTTTAATATCAAATAGACTTTCTTATATTGTAAAGATAATGTATTTTTTGTACATATTTTTAAAACCTGACTTGGGTCAGCCATGTGGTCATCATAATATAGATGTGATATTTGTTAATAAACTATTGTATGCAGATTGGTGAAATGCATAATGTGAAATGAGGGAAATAAATAGGTCTTTGTTTTATGTTGTTTCAATGTGTTTATATTATGTATAATTTAATATTATAAATATGAGATATAAAAGTGCTGTCATGGATGCTAAAAAAAACAACTCAATATAAAAATTTACTTGAATACTATTTCAATTAGCAACATCCACCTTAACTCTTTGGATTTAGACATGTTTACTATCTGTGTGGATTATTTAAGACTTTCTGAAGTCTAGTTCCAGTATTATAAATGTTAAACCAATAAATAGCATCCCCACATTATTTTTTCTCATGCATGTTCTGAAAATACTGAGTGTAAACACACTTTAAATATGCTTTATTTGATGAATACCAAGTACAATAAGGTAGATACAATTGGAAGGTTAATCCTCCACATTTTTAATACATAGTTCTATAACAATACAATTGTCATTCATACATTTAAACTGGCAAAGATACTGAGTTACATTAATACATTTAAACATGAAATCAACTGTACTGTCAGGTAAAAAAGTCTGTTAATATCAAGTTAACTTAATGCAAGGGCTGTGGACTCATGTTCAAATTCTAAACTTTTTGGAATCTTCCTGTCAGCCATCACCTGTCTCAATATGGCATAAAACATTTCATTTACCCCTTCACCTGAAGCTGCTGATGTTTCAAAATACCTAGAGGGGAAAATTAAAAACAAAACTAAATTTGTTCCATTCATGGATAATGAACACCAAATTATCTCAAAATGATATTTGAACAAATAAAGAAAACCTCATAAGAATAATGTTGGAATTAGAGAAATACTAGAAACATCTTGTTTATACACAGAGACATCCGTAATTATCTATTTATAAATATATATATATATATATATATATACATATATATATATATATATATATATATATATATATATATATATATATATATATATATATATATATATATATGTTTCCCCAGAAGCAGATTGTTCAAAATCCGCTTTTCAAAATGTGGACAACCAGGCTTTAAATTTTTATTTTCCTTAAGATTTCTATATTACAGACTTGATGAAATGGAATTATTGTGTACTACTGGGGAGAGATGTGGCTACAATATATTTGACCATGATGCATTGATCGGCTTAGAACTCTGTGGTGTATTAATCTAAAAAAATATTAGAAGAGCCTGGTTCTGGTGAAGCGATATTTTATAAATTAGAAAACGCTTTTACTTTTAGGAAATGAAAAAGATCTTTTTCTCACCTTAATTTGTTTCTCTGAGCAAATTTCACACCATCTGTTTGTGTTACCATTCTTTTCTGCTTCATATCTACCTTTGAACAATAGTACATAAACAATTATTCATAGTTCACACAATATCTAAATAAAATCAGCTAAAGTTAGAGATATCTATGAGAAACTACCTTATTGGCTACGATGACAACCTCTGAGCCACTTGATGTGTATTTTTTAATTTCACGTAGCCACTGGTCTAGAGCTTCAAATGAATCAGCACTTGTGACATCATAAACAAGGAAGATTATATCCACACCAGTGTAGAGTTCATTCCTTACTTCAAAGTATTCAGCACTCCCTGATAGATCCCACAAGTGGACTCTTACTGGGGAATGGACAACAACAAAGTATTCAGCACTCCCTGATAGATCCCACAAGTAGACTCTTACTGGGGAATGGACAACAACAAAATATTCAGCACTCCCTGATAGATCCCACAGATGGACTTACTGGGGAATGGACAACAATTTAAAGTATTCAGCAATCCCTGATAGATCCCACAAGTGGACTCTTACTGGGGAATGGACAACAACAAAGTATTCAGCACTCCCTGATAGATCCCACAAGTGGACTCTTACTGGGGAATGGACAACAACAAAGTATTCAGCACTCCCTGATAGATCCCACAGGTGGACTCTTACTGGGGAATGGACAACAATTTAAAGTATTCAGCAATCCCTGATAGATATCACAGGTGGACTCTTACTGGGGAATGGACAACAACTTAAAATATTCAGCACTCCCTGATAGATCCCACAAGTGGACTCTTACTGGGGAATGGACAACAACAAAGTATTCAGCACTCCCTGATAGATCCCACAGGTGGACTTACTGGGGAATGGACAACAACAAAGTATTCAGCACTCCCTGATAGATCCCACAAGTGGACTTACTGGGGAATGGACAACAATTTAAAGTATTCAGCAATCCCTGATAGATATCACAGGTGGACTCTTACTGGGGAATGGACAACAACAAAGTATTCAGCACTCCCTGATAGATCCCACAAGTGGACTTACTGGGGAATGGACAACAACTTAAAGTATTCAGCACTCCCTGATAGATCCCACAAGTGGACTTACTGGGGAATGGACAACAACTTAAAGTATTCAGCACTCCCTGATAGATCCCACAAGTGGACTTACTGGGGAATGGACAACAACAAAGTATTCAGCACTCCCTGATAGATCCCACAAGTGGACTTACTGGGGAATGGACAACAACAAAGTATTCAGCACTCCCTGATAGATCCCACAAGTGGACTTACTGGGGAATGGACAACAACTTAAAGTATTCAGCACTCCCTGATAGATCCCACAAGTGGACTTACTGGGGAATGGACAACAACTTAAAGTATTCAGCACTCCCTGATAGATCCCACAAGTGGACTTACTGGGGAATGGACAACAACAAAGTATTCAGCACTCCCTGATAGATCCCACAAGTGGACTTACTGGGGAATGGACAACAATAAAGTATTCAGCACTCCCTGATAGATCCCACAAGTGGACTTACTGGGGAATGGACAACAATTTAAAGTATTCAGCAATCCCTGATAGATATCACAGGTGGACTCTTACTGGGGAATGGACAACAACTTAAAGTATTCAGCAATCCCTGATAGATATCACAGGTGGACTCTTACTGGGGAATGGACAATGTATGTTGTTGCAGATAAATTTTATGTTACACTATTATTCAATATTGACAATTCAAAACCATATCATCACAAATATTGAAGCAATGCTATACATTTCTGTGAGCTGTGTTTTCACTCATAAATTATCTAAGTCTAAGCATGATGCAAACACACATTACAGGCTAAGGAAAATTACAGTGGGTAACAAGGTGGTTCAAGATAAAAAGAAAAACTGATATAATTTTGGACTTGATTTGACAATTTAAAAAATTGTCTAAAACCAAAGCCCTGTTAACTAGATAAAGAGAAGTGGTTGAGAATCCTTGGATAAATGTGTAGAATGGATGTTAATTGTAGAACTTAAATGAACTTACAATCAATTCCATTTACTTCCTGTATTTTGAAGCCATAGTCAACACCAACAGTTGGCTGATAACCAGAATTAAACTGAAGAAAAAAAAATGAAAATATTTCATAAGACTTTTTAAAAAGTGCAAATCAAAATTAACACCTAATTGTTTGGAAAGGAATAACAGCTAGCTAGCAAGAACATAAATATGTATATGTAAATTAAATTAATTTACTAAAAACAGTAATGTGCCAGTATATAATTTAACTTAGAAGAGTGATCCTTAGGCTAGTAAAATATATTTTTCATAATGGTAAAAATACTCATTTTTATAAACAAAATCAGATTTAAATTGCAAAACTTTATTTTAGAATTAAACTTTTTGAAATACAGATTTACCTTACTTTCACAAAAATGTTTGATCAAACTGGTCTTTCCTGTGCTTGCATTTCCTATTCCAATTATCTGAAAAATTTAACATTAATAATAATTTTTGTAATAACAGTTTTTATGGAAAAAGTATACCCCACAACATCAGTCCCTCAACAAATATTGTGTGTTGTGTTCTAAAAGTCTTATACAAGGATATAATTATCAGGTTCAAAACTACTGTGCAGCCACACATCTTGGAGAGAACATTGACCTTACAAAATTTAAAAATACAAAATGTATTATCTGTACCTTTTCTCCCCCAAAAAATATGGAAAACAATTTAAAGATGATAATTTTTTAAATACATCATAAGAGAGGAAACTAATTTGATCAGTAAATTAACAAGTTAAAAACAAATTTGTAAAGACACACCTTAACCCATGTTAAGTTAGTTACAGCATCTAAAAACTGTTTTCTTAGAGTGCCAGGAACCCTGTCCATATTTTCATCTTCTTAAAACAATTAAGTACTCTGGAATAAAAATATATGTTTAAAAACAAAACAATTTAAGATAGTACCACTAACATCAGTTCAAAATAATGCTTTGGCTAAACCTGGAAAAGACATAAGACAAGGTATATTTGATAAAAAAAACTTCGCTATGGATAGTTAATTAAAACCACGCATAGTAATTTTATATTCAAATAATTTAATGTATTATCATTTTAAATAACATAGATCTAGATCTAACTTAATACAATACATTTTAAAATTCCTGACTATACTTTTTTTTAAAATTACTCCTACTACTGTAGCAACTGATGGGGCAGATGCAGTAGAGCTCATTTATATAATAATGGGATGGTGGGGTCAGTACTATGACCAACATCCATTACTTTTTATAACATGAGTCAGGTACCCATCATTGCTGGGTAAACTCAGCAACAAATACAAGTCAAATATCTTAACTCTAGACTTTTTGGTTTGCAGTTAAGCACTTTACCACCTGGCTTTGCCATCTCTACTGTTGTATGACAGCATTTTATTTTTTAACAAAACTAGTTAATTCTTATTGAAGTACATGTGTGTTTGACAGTCTGACTCTAGCCCTAGTTTAAATAAGTTTAAGGTTTACTTGGACCTAACTACCAACTATTTGGATGCTGTTAATAAAGAAATATAGAGTTCTATAGCAGTATAGGCCCATTATTATAATATAATTAATAATATTATTATAAGACTATACACAATACTGCTGAGGTATAGTTATAGTAATATATTATAACAAAAGCAAAATCATTCAAACATCAGGACTAAAAACCAAAGTATTAATGTAAGATCTGAAAAATTACTGTAACTGGTAATCTATTGTTTAAGGTGCGTAAAATCGGCAGAGGCTAGTAATTTGAAAAATAGTTGCCTCATAGTTAAGGCTTTAACAGAAGTATATTGTGATATAATTGTATCAAATATTATAGATAACTGAATAATAAACCAAAATAAATGGCTAAATATTTAATATATCGATATAGGCCAGATATTAACTTTAAACAGCAGTGTTTGCAAGCAAGATTTGCTATATAAACAGCTGCCATCTGTAAATTAGAGTGGTTCCCCTGAATCTCTAAGGGGTCATCCATAAATGATGTCTCGCTTTTTTGACGATTTTTACCTCCTCCCTCCCCTCCGTCACAAAAAGCCAGACCCCACCCCCTAAAATGACATCACACCTAAGCCTACAACCCCCCTCAAAATGCAGTTGAATTTTTTCAAACAGCTATATTTTTCCAAAATCTTGTCTGAACTCTGTCAAAATAGAGTATTTTAATCAATTGTTATTACAATTTATTAAAACAGTTTTCTAAAACGCAAACTACCGTCTAAAATTCATTTTCTAACTTTGCTTTTTTATAATCATAATAATGCAAAAGTGTGATGTCGCACCATCTGAACCCCCACCCCCCTCCCCCTCATCACACACCGTCACAAAATTACGGACCCCCCCCTCCCCCCTACAAGTGTGACGTCGTTTATGGACAACCCCAAACTATAATTTTACCAAAAAAACCTTGAACAAGATGGCTGCTAAAGTAAATGAGCTTGGTTGCATCTAATGAAAACATTGCTAGTCCATATTAATATTTAATTATTTATTACTGCAAAGTTTTAATACAATTGTTAAAAAACGGGTACATGAATGAAAATCCTAAACATTTTTGTAACTTTCAAAACAAAAATTTTTAATTTTCCTAAAAATGTGAAATAATTACTAAAATTTAATGAGTCACCTTTTTTCACATTAATAGTCTCTGCCGATTTTGCGTACCTAAATTAAAACGATAGTTTACGCCTACAAGCGGCTTTAACTTTATCTGTTCCGACTCTAAGAACTAAGACGAAGTTCACTCTAACTCTCTAACAACTAAAGTAATAAAGTTTACTAAAGTCTAAGATTGTCACTCTATTTAGTATTTACTATTTATTAGTTATTACTATTAAAAAAAAAGATGTTCTGTAGGCCTATTAAATTTCTTTTCTGTTACCCTTTGAAATTCTAGCAGTGGGCTTAGATCTACTTATTAATTAGGACGGGCGTTTGGCTTAACGCTTGATGAAAGGTTGGAAGAAGTAAGCAACTGTCTTAGAGCTACATACTGAAAACCGGAAGTGTAAATACGATGTTTCTAAGGAGTACATCTCCAAATTCCAAAAACCTACAATGTCATATGAAAACACGTCCGTGGAAATGGGATTTATTGTAAAAAGTACTAGCCTATTTTTTGAAATTTAATAATACGAAGAGCACATTTATTTTAGAGTCCGACGCAAGTTAAAATTGATATTGCTGACTTCGAAACATTTATATTCTTTTTTATGTTAGCAGTGATAATCTAGTTAAAATTTAAACGAACTACTCACAAGCCTTGATCAGAGTTTCTTCCAGGCATCTCTTCGGGGGGGCGAAGCCCCCCCGAAAAATTTTTGCCGCCCCCCCGAACGAAATGAAATTTATATAATTTATATAGAAAATATATACTTTTAACAGTGTCCGCCCCCCCGAAGAAAGTTTACCGCCCCCCCGAAGATTTCAAGTGCCCCCCGGAGAAAAAAGTCTGGAAGAAACACTGGCCTTGATATTTTGATATGATAACTAGGCCCTAATAAAAATATTTGATTTAATATTCGTACAAATTACATAGGCTGAAGTGTGATTTTAGGAGTATCCTTTTTTGAGATTTTATGAGATGATGGGATGGGGAATAGGAGTCAGATTGCCAAGTAGCGTGTCGTTATTTATGGACAACCCATTCGAATTGGTTATTCAAAATTTCGTAAACACATAAATTGTATATAGGCAAGTGATATATATATATATATATATATATATATATATATATATATATATATATATATATATATATATATATATATATATATATATATATATATATATATATATATATATATATATAATTTCATATATAGACTAATTTTGTTTTTTATCGGTAGCTAGAGCGTACTTGAGATGTTTATGCTTGCCCTAGAAACAAGGGGAGGTAAAACGTAACACATTTCATACTGTAACCATACTTATATATTATATGAGCTATATATATCTATAGTCAATATTCTGCAGCTGGGAAGGACTACTAGAAACTATACGATCTAATATAATCAGTCATGAACATTAATTCATAATAATAGTTTTTTTTAATATATTAATATTTAAAAAAATGGATAATGAATTAGAAAATGGTGCTGAACATATTTTGGAAGACAGAAATATTCCACGAAATGAGAATAACATTCTGGAATCCAATGTTGTTGATGAACAAGAAGATAATGATCTACTGGTAATAAATACTGAACAGTTTAAAGGTGATACCTTGTTTGTTTCAGGTGAGCAAAATTTCCTCTGTCAAAATTCTTTTCTTACATTTCTGATAGTTAATGTTGAGTCAAGTGTATTAAGTGTTAGGCGTTAGGTTTTTATGATGTAGCCTTTTTTCTCTGATTTATCTTCACAGATACACCATTGACATATCTGTCCAGGTTCAGCAATGGCCATGATATTTCTATGCTTTGTGAAAGTTGTGCCCTGTACATTAATATTGGTAACCTGCTGTATCACAGGGCGTATCACAGTGCCTTAAACACTCTCCGCTACACACACCCACAAAAACCTACCCAAGTTCAGTCCCTTTTACAACGAAGAAACTCACTGATAAAAAAATTAAACTCTAAAGCTACATTAAAAAAGCCAATCAAGCCTGATGATATAAGAAAGTTAAACGAAGCTTATGAATTTTTGAAAAATGATTTAGAAGATGAGTATTATTGGGCAGATCAATTTCAAAACAAAGTCAAGTCATCTGTCCAAGGTGTAGCTAAAAATTGTAGTTTAGATTTTGTATATGGGATTGGGATTTGTAGCAATGATAACAGGATGTGGAAGAAAGACATGGAGGATGTGAATGTTTATATCGACAACTTTGGTGGGGATCAAAATAAATGTTATCTGGCCATCTTTGATGGTTACCATGGTAAAAATGCAGCACAAAGGTCTGCTAATGAGCTGCATCACCTGCTTCTGAATGAAATGGCAACTTTTTCTAGGTTACATCTAGACTATTCAAACAATGAACAGCAAGAACCTGCAGCACTCAACAAGGTAAACAATCTCCAAGTTGATTTAAACTATAGAAACACACATTTAAAACAAGAAATAGCTAATTGCTTTTCAGTCTAGAAAAAAAAATCTGAAATAAAAACCAAACAGATCTAGCATGATAATAACCTGTCTCCTCACAACTGAAGTAAAACTTCTAAAATTTCTGTTCCAGAATATAATGAGCCTCTGTTATAAAAAATATGAAGAGAGAATGAAGGAAACTAATGGTGATGATAATTTAAATAAGAAGCCAACCAACCTAACATTTACAGAGAATTTAAAAGAGGTAGGGCCTACCCCATTTATTTATAGCTAGGCACTATACATATGTTTAAGTATAATTCAATTTTGAACTAATATTAACTTATTCTTTTCAGAAGAAGGCCTATATTAGAATTAATGTTCTAATAAAGATAGAATAGTTTATAACAATAGGACAATGTCATGAATTGTATATGCCAATTTATATTTTATTTAATAAGGTTGTGCAAGGTAAAAATAAAAATTCCATGTATAAATGTCACAAGATTAAAATAAAGATTAATTAGTTATATACAATATACATATAGGGCTATCTCTAAATTAGAAGAGCTGTTTATTTAATGATTTACTATTTCTGTTATTTTAGTTATATTCCAAATATTTTTATCTTTTGAAGGCATTTAGAAAGAGCTACCATTTGGTGGACATACTGTTGACTGATGGCAAGGGTGAATCCTCCAAGTTTAGATGGAGCGGTACTTCAGCTCTAACCCTGGTTATCAGCAAAACACAAACTGCTGAAGGCATGACTGAACATGAGGAAACAGCAGAGAATAAAAATATCATGAGTCAGACGGAAGAAGTGGGTTTTATTTATATTGCTAATGCAGGTCATTATTTTATTTTTCTTTAATCTGTACTTACACAGTGATAAATAGTTACTCCCCCTTATTATATTTTGTTGCCCAGCTGTTAAAAAAATAACATTCACTTAACAACTTCTTGCTATAGTGGGATCTGTTTGTGGATGTGCCTATCATGTGAGAGATGTTTGTGGATGTGCCTATCATGTGAGAGATGTTTGTGGATGTGTCTATCATGTGATGTGTTGTGGATGTGTCTATCATGTGATGTGTTTGTGGATGTGTCTATCATGTGATGTGTTTGTGGATGTGTCTATCATGTGATGTGTTTGTGGATGTGTCTATCATGTGATGTGTTTGTGGATGTGTCTATCGTGTGATGTATTTGTGGATGTGTCTATCATGTGATGTGTTTGTGGATGTGTCTATCATGTGAGAGAAGTTTGTGGATGTGTCTATCATGTGAGAGATGTTTGTGGATGTGTCTATCATGTGAGAGAAGTTTGTGGATGTGTCTATCATGTGAGAGATGTTTGTGGATGTGTCTATCATGTTAATGCTAAAATAACCACCCTGGTCTGATTATGGGATGGTAAACTGAAGTAGAAAACCAAAACTTGTTACAGGAAGTTCTAGAGCTGTACTGATAAAAGACAACAAGGCTGTTTGTCTCAATGAAGTCCACACAACAAAAAATGGCACAGAAAGACAAAGGATTAAAATCTCTGGCAAGTCCAAGCTTTCTAATTATTACAAGACACCATTTTTTACTGGCCATTCAATCCTTTTTCAATGAAAGCTTTTTTTTTCAATACAAAAAAATTCAAATTTGAAATATTAGATCCAAATAAAGACTGCTATCCACTCATTCAACACAAATAATTGTTGTCAAGTCATTCAACACAGTTTATTTAATTTTAAAAAATCAGGTGGTGACATCAGCAAAAACAAATTGGTTCATGGAGTTTTGCCTGTGACTCGTGGCCTGGGTAACCATGGCGACACAAGACTGAAGGAGAGTGTGATAGCAGAGCCCCATGTGACAGCTGTGCCCATTGACAGGGAGGCTCAGATGCTGGTGCTGGCTAGTCATGGGATATGGGAGGTGTTTTCTGAGGATGAGGTGGCTGACTTGTTGACAAAGGTGAGAGGGTCAAGTTTCCAGCCAGTGTTTCTTCCAGAATTTTTTCACTGGGGGGGGGGGGGGGGGGCACCTAATTTTCTGGGGGGGGGGGGGGACATTGGTAAAAGTATGTTTTATATATAAATTTCATTTCATTCAGGGGTGGGGGGGGTGCTCTGCCCTTCTTAAGAGATGCCTAGAAAAAACACTGTTTCCAACCTGGTGGTAGATGAAGTAGAGTTCACTTGTTTCTGTGACCTAAGCATATGAGTGGATAGTGTGGTCAGCACTCAGCCCACCTGCCTTTATTTTCCCTGGCATCAGTCAGGTACCATCAAGTGGGCCAGACTCTGGGACATCCTGTGTTCAAACATGGGGTCTGAACTTGAGACTTGTGTGCTTGCAGTCTATACTCTACCAGGAGGTTGTGATGTTGTTAGAAATATTGTTGTGAAAGCCATGTGTATTGCTGATGTTATATAAGTCATGTTGTGATGTAGATGTAAAACTGAAGTTGTTGGTGTGGATGTAAAAGCCATGTTTATTGTTGATGTTGTTATATAAGTCATGTTGTGATGTAGATGTAAAGCTGAAGTTGTTGGTGTGGATGTAAAAGCCATGTTATGGTGTGGAGGTTGACATATTATGATGTGGATGTAAAAGCCATGTTTATTGTTGTTGTTGATCAGATGTTACCAGACCAGCAGCTCTCTCCACCAAGCAGATTGAGTGATTCCATCCTACCACTGTTGAATGCAAGGGGTGAGCTCAAGAGGGAATCACCTGAGCTAAAGAGTGGATCACCTGAGCTAAAGAGTAGATCACCTGAGCTTAAGGGTGGATCACCTGAGCTAAAGGGTGGATCACCTGAGCTAAAGAGTAGATCACCTGAGCTTAAGGGTGGATCACCTGAGCTAAAGGTTGGATCACCTGAGCTAAAGAGTGGATCACCTGAGCTAAAGAGTGGATCACCTGAGCTAAAGAGTAGATCACCTGAGCTTAAGGGTGGATCACCTGAGCTAAAGGGTGGATCACCTGAGCTAAAGAGTAGATCACCTGAGCTTAAGGGTGGATCACCTGAGCTAAAGGTTGGATCACCTGAGCTAAAGGGTGGATCACCTGAGCCCAAGAGGGAATCACCTGAGCTAAAGGGTGGATCACCTGAGCTAAAGGGTGGATCACCTGAGCTAAAGGGTGGATCACCTGAGCTAAAGGGTGGATCACCTGAGCTTAAGGGTGGATCACCTGAGCTAAAGAGTGGATCACCTGAGCTAAAGAGTAGATCACCTGAGCTCAAAAGTCTATCACCTGAGCTTAAGGGTGGATCACCTGAGCTCAAGAGTCTATCACCTGAGCTTAAGGGTGGATCACCTGAGCTCAAGAATCTATCACCTGAGCTTAAGGGTGTATCATCATTTAGACCAGAGTCATCACACAGTGGGACAAGCTCAGTCAGTGACATGGGTGATATAGGTAATTCTTTGAGTTATTTCCCTTACATTATAGGCCAAATATAGGTAATTCTTTGAGTTATTTCCCTTACATTATAGGCCAAATATAGGTAATTATTTGAGTTATTTCCCTTACATTATTGGCCTACCATAGGTAATCATTATTTCGTGACAAAAAATTTCTCACTTTGTAGCATATGTAATTTCTTGGTTTACTCCCTTTCTTTCTAGTTAGTTCTTTGGTAATACCTTGAACCTGACTTGGTCATTAATTGTTCCACCAGCAGTTGAATTTACATTACCAGCCTGTGGCTTTAAACAATTTATTTCACTGATCTCTCTAGAACTGTCCACGTTTGGGGATCAAGATGTGACCCCAAGAACAAGCGAGGTGCCCCAAACACTCACCGGAGCACTGACCCCTACAGGAGTGCTGACCCCTACAGGAGCGATGACCACTGGAGACACTGCCAGACTGGACCTGGCCAAAACAATGTGTGAGCAGCTGACCCACGCCGCCATTTTGGCTGGTTCCAGAAGTAACATCACAGTCATGCTGGTGCTGCTGGCTGGTTGTGGGCTGTCATAGGGCGTGGTCTGTCATAGGGCGTGGTCTGTCACAGGGCGTGGTCTGTCACAGGGCGTGGTCTGTCACAGGGCGTGGTCTGTCATAGGGCGTGGTCTGTCATAGGGCGTGGTCTGTCACAGGGCGTGGTCTGTCACAGGGCGTGGTCTGTCACAGGGCGTGGTCTGTCATAGGGCGTGGTCTGTCATAGGGCGTGGTCTGTCACAGGGCGTGGTCTGTCACAGGTCGTGGTCTGTCACAGGGCGTGGTCTGTCACAGGGCGTGGTCTGTCATAGGGCGTGGTCTGTCACAGGGCGTGGTCTGTCACAGGTCGTGGTCTGTCACAGGGCGTGGTCTGTCACAGGGCGTGGTCTGTCACAGGGCGTGGTCTGTCACAGGGCGTGGTCTGTCACAGGGCGTGGTCTGTCATAGGGCGTGGTCTGTCACAGGGCGTGGTCTGTCATAGGGCGTGGTCTGTCACAGGGCGTGGTCTGTCACAGGGCGTGGTCTGTCATAGGGCGTGGTCTGTCATAGGGCGTGGTCTGTCATAGGGCGTGGTCTGACACAGGCATGATGTTTTAGGGTGTTGTCTCTCACTATTAAACGCTGCATTACAAACAACGCCCTCTGTATTTGGTCTAGTATACACTTACAAAAGATGTTTGGTTTACTGTGAAAAGATGTAATAAAGATGTGCATTACAATAAAGATGTTCTTTTAAAAATGTTCTTGCATTTTGGTGTTCAACAACTTATTATTGCTTGATCTATAGACAATAACTTTTGTCACACACAACCACATCACACACAACCACATCACACACAGACACATCACACAGCCATATCGTCATACACAACCACATCACACACAGCCACATCACACACAACCACACCGAACACAGCCACATCACACACAGCCACATCACACACAGCCACATCACACAGCCACATCGTGAATACACAACCAAATCACACAACCAAATCACACAACCACATCACACACAGCCACATCACACACAACCACACCGAACACAGCCACATCACACAACCACATCACACACAGACACATCACACAGCCATATCGTCATACACAACCACATCACACAACCACATCACACACAGCCACATCACACACAGCCACATCACACACAACCACATCACACACAGCCACATCACACACAACCACATCACACACAGCCACATCACACACAACCACATCACACACAGCCACATCACACACAGCTACATCACACACAGCCACATCACACACAGCTACATCACACACAGCCACATCACACACAACCACATCACACACAGCCACATCACACACAGCCACGCACAGCCACATCACACACAACCACATCACACACAACCACATCACACACAGCCACATCACACACAGCCACATCACACACAGCCACATCACACACAGCCACATCACACACAGCCACATCGCCACACACAACCACAACACACACAGCCACATCACACACAGCCACATCACACACAGCCACATCACACACAACCACATCACACAACCACATCACACACAGCCACATCACACACAGCCACATCACACACAACCACATCACACACAGCCACATCACACACAGCCACATCACACACAACCACATCACACACAACCACATCACACACTGCCACATCACACACAGCCACATCACACACAACCACATCACACACAACCACATCACACACAGCCACATCACACACAACCACATCACACACAGCCACATCACACACAGCCACATCACACACAACCACATCACACACAACCACATCACACACAGCCACATCACACACAGCCACATCACACACAACCACATCACACACAGCCACATCACACACAGCCACATCACACACAGCCACATCACACACAGCCACATCACACACAACCACACCGAACACAGCCACATCACACACAGCCACATCACACACAGCCACATCACACACAGCTACATCACACACAGCCACATCACACACAACCACACCGAACACAGCCACATCACACACAGCCACATCACACACAGCCACATCACACACAGCTACATCACGCAGCCACATCGTGAATACACAACCACATCACACACAACCACATCACACACAGACACATCACACACAACCACATCACACAGCCACATCGTGAATACACAACCAAATCATACAACCATATCACACACAGCCACATCACACACAGCCACATCACACACAACCACATCACACAGCCACATCGTGAATACACAACCACATCACACACAGCCACATCACACACAGCCACATCACACACAACCACATCATACACAACCACATTATATTCTACACACACCAAATCCAATGTAGTCCGTCAGACAACTGTAGACAACATAAGCCATGTATGGCCTTCACTAAACGGTACAATTTTAGTCTCAATCACATGCAAGGGAAAAAAACATTTTAGCAATTGCAAGAGAATTAAAACGTCAATAAAGTCCAAACAAGACATAAATGCATTAAGTCTACACAGGATTTTATCCTGCTGCTTATCACTTTACGTCGGCGGCTGTTGGGGTTGAAATGTTGTGAAAAGTTTAGCCACGATTTGCCAGGTGTTTCGAGTGAGAAAACTCACCTCGACTAACTGAAGAATTACCGCGTGCACGGCCGTACAGTGTTGGCAGTAGAGCCGGTGGACATAGCTGAGATGTTTGCTGACGGTTCAAATGGAGACATTTTTTGTCGGCCTTTAATCTTGGAGCTTTCATCTCCCACGTACGGTGCTGGAACTGTCGGCCTGCGCTGGTTGTAATTACAATGTGCTGGCAGTTTAGGGGGTGGCGATCATTAGACATGCAGCCTTCGTTAACATTAGCGGATCCGTCAACATAGGTGTATCCGTCAACATAGGTGTATCCAACATAGGTGTATCCGTCAACATAGGTGTATCCGTCAACATAGGTGTATCCGTCAACATAGGTGTATCCGTCAACTTAGGTGTATCCGTCAACATAGGTTTATCCGTTAACATAGGTGTATCCGACATAGGTGTATCCTTCAACATAGGTGTATCCGTCAACATAGGTGTATCCGTCAACATAGGTTTATCCGTTAACATAGGTGTATCCGACATAGGTGTATCCGTCAACATAGGCGTATCAAACATAGGTGTATCCAACATAGGTGTATCCGTCAACTTAGGTGTATCCGACATAGGTCTATCATCCGTCAACATATGTGTATCCGTCAACATAGGTGTATCATCCGTTAACATGGGTGTATCCGTCAACATAGATGTATCAGTCAACATAGGTGTATCAGTCAACATAGGTGTATCATCCGTTAACATGGGTGTATCCGTCAACATAGATGTATCAGTCAACATAGGTGTATCATCCATCAACATAGGTGTATCCGTCAACATATGTGTATCATCCGTTAACATGGGTGTATCCATCAACATAGGTGTATCCGTCAACATAGATGTATCAGTCAACGTAGGTGTATCATCCGTCAACATATGTGTATCCGTCAACATAGGTGTATCATCCGTCAACATAGATGTATCAGTCAACATAGGTGTATCATCCGTCAACATAGATGTATCAGTCAACATAGGTGTATCATCCGTCAACATAGATGTATCAGTCAACATAGGTGTATCATCCGTTAACATAGGTGTATCCAACATAGGTGTATCCGTCAACATAGATGTATCCGTCAACCCAACGATATGTAACAACCCTACAACAAGGCTAGAATTACGCGCCATTTACAATCACTAAACAACAAGGCTAGAATTACGCGCCATTTACAATCACCAAACAACAAGGCTAGAATTACGCGCCATTTACAATCACCAAACAACAAGGCTAGAATTACGCGCCATTTACAATCACCAAACAACAAGGCTAGAATTACGCGCCATTTACAATCACCAAACAACAAGGCTAGAATTACGCGCCATTTACAATCACCAAACAACATGGCTAGAATTACGCGCCATTTACAATCACCAAACAACATGGCTACAATCCATGCCTATAACAACTTACAATAAGCCAATAATCACAAACTTCCTTCACAAACTTCCTAGTTTATCAGCGATGTCATGTAATATTATACCACCTACATGTGTGATTTTAAGCCAGCTAGAATTATTTTAGACTTGATCCAAAGACTAGCGTAGAGAATGCTTGCAGGGGAGCTGTAGTTTCATAGCAGAGCTACTGTAGTATGTAGTGGGAGCTGTAGAGCTGCTGTAGTATGTAGTGGGAGCTGTAGAGCTGCTGTAGTATATAGTGGGAGCTGTATAGCTGATGATGTGTATAGTGGGAGCTGTATAGTTGCTGTAGTGTATAGTGGGAGCTGTAGAGCTGCTGTAGTGTATAGTGGGAGCTGTATAGTTGCTGTAGTGTATAGTGGGAGCTGTAGAGCTGATGTAGTGTATAGTGGGAGCTGTAGAGCTACTGTAGTGTATAGTGAGAGCTGTAGAGCTGCTGTAGTATATAGTGGGAGCTGTAGAGCTGCTGTAGTGTATAGTGGGTGCTGTAGAGCTGCTGTAGTGTATAGTGGGAGCTGTAGAGCTGCTGTAGTATATAGTGGGAGCTGTATAGCTGATTTAGTGTATAGTGGGAGCTGTATAGCTGATGTTGTGTATAGTGGGAGCTGTATAGCTGATGTAGTTTATAGTGGGAGCTGTAGAGCTACTGTAGTGTATAGTGGGAGCTGTAGAACTGATGTAGTGTATAGTGGGAGCTGTAGAGCTGATATAGTGTATAGTGGGAGCTGTATAGCTGATGTAGTGTATAGTGGGAGCTGTAGAGCTGCTGTTGTGTATAGTGGGAGCTGTAGATGTGCTGTAGTGTATAGTGGGAGCTGTATAGCTGATGTAGTGTATAGTGGGAGCTGTAGAGCTGCTGTAGTGTATAGTGAGAGCTGTAGAGCTGCTGTAGTGTATAGTGGGAGCTGTATAGCTGATGTAGTGTATAGTGGGAGCTGTAGAGCTGCTGTAGTGTATAGTGGGAGCTGTAGATGTGCTGTAGTGTATAGTGGGAGCTGTATAGCTGATTTAGTGTATAGTGGGTGCTGTA